TTACAGATCACCCAATTCCAGCCCCAATTCCACCTCCCACTGTCCCAGTGTCCAAACCCCAATGTCCAGCCTGGCCTTGGGCTCTGGGAATTCCATCCCAAACCCTCCCCATCCTGCCAGGGAGGAACCTGAGCACGGAAAGGGATTTGAAACAGGGAAGGGAAAAGGTGTCGGCTATTTTGGAGGAGAAGGAAATTAAAGGGATTTGAAACAACCTTGTCCAAAACCTGGGTCTCACCAGGTTTTGAAGGCAGCAAAGACAGAAGTTTTCCTGGCTGTCAGAAATTGAGACAAACCCCAGAGGTGACAAAAAGGGACAGGGATGAGTCATTAACTGAGGAAACACCAAAAGCTGCCCTGGCTCGGGCTTTGCACAGACACATCTCTCAAAATCAACAAGTAAAACCAGTTTTGTGTGGTCAAAAACCACAGCTGTCCCACCACAAACCCCACAGCACGGCACAGAGCAGGGCCAGCACCACAACACACAGGAAGGATGCACATTCAAAATAATAATAATTGAAAAAAAAATGAATTATTGGCTTTTATTTTGAGTGTGCTGATCCGTGGCATACTGGAAGGTTTAACAAATGAGTTCTGCTCAGACAGAACTCAAGTTTCCAAAGGGATGAAAATGAAAACTTGGCAACAGAAAGAGCAAAATCGGTGTATATTGAATTCTAACACAAATATTTCCCACCAAACTTCCCAATGGCTTTTCCAGTATTTTTTCCTAGAGAAACAGCATCACCTTCAGGCCAAAAAAAGACACATCTCAGTTTGTTTTAATTGGGAAAACTTCAAGAAATCCTTCTCAAAATCTTGCATTTTTTATTTCTTTCTGACCCGAGATTGCAAAACCTGAACATGAAAAAAAAAATAGAAAAAATTAAATTAAATGTACGGAAATGAAAAAAAAATTAGAGGGAAGTAGCAGTCCCTCCTAATTCTGGATATACTGAGGTTTCAGAAGAGCCCACACAGAACAAATCAAGACAGCAAGAATATAAAATACATCCTTTTGTATTCTCCACTTCTTTGCAAAGGGCCAGTTTCACCAACTTCTGTGGCAATTATTCTGCCAGCTGAAATCCCACAGTCAAAAGGCCCGTGGGGTCCAGGAGCAGTGGAAAACAGGATGTTTCAGGCTGTGCAAGACGTTCTCAGCACAAATCAGATTTCTGCTCCAAATTCAGAGATAAAATACTGAATCCCAGAAGGAAACACTTCTGTCACACGCTGCAGAAAGAGCAAACAGAGCAAAGTGAGCAGCCAGGACTGCTGGGGCGCTCCCTGCCCGTGCCAGGGGGTGCAATGAGATGAGCTTTAAAATCCCTTCCAACCAAAACAATCCAACGATTCTTTGGTTTTAGATCAGATTTGATTCGCTGTAACAGGGAAATCGCAGTGAACTCTCCAAGTAATTCTCCGTAATTCTGTTTTGCAATGAGAGTAACAGAGAAGCAGAGGGCAGAGGCTGCGGGGAGCAGGAAATTCAGAATTTCGGCTGTTTCCTCCTGCCCTGCAGGGCACGGCTCTGCTGCTGCTCACACCCAGCCTGGGCAGGTTCTGCACAAACATCCCTGAGAGGGACCAGCCCAAGACAGCAGAGCTCTGCTGTGGAAACACTCAGGGAATGGTGGGAATGATTCCTCACAGAGCTCCAGGAGAGCTGGGGAGGGGCTGGGGACAAGGGATGGAGGAACAGCACCAGGGAATGGCTGCCAGTGGCAGGGGACAGGGCTGGATGGGATCCTGGGCAGGAATTGTTCCCTGGCAGGGTGGGCAGGCCCTGGCACAGGGTGCCCAGAGAATCCCAGAATATCCTGAGCTGG